GTCCTGCTGGGTCCAAGCCTCCAGCTGAAGACTGTGACCTTACTGTGGCCAAGGAGCAGTGTGCTGCTCCAGGAAGGGCTGCCAGCACTTCTTCTTTTTTATTTTTTGTTTCTAATTAAATAAACATTTCTGTTCCAGCTGCCACCTCTGTCAGCTGCACAACAAAACCTATCTGCTCACCCTCCTCTTATAGCAGCTTCACCCTCCTTCTGGCCAAAGGGGTGGTGGTCCTTCCCCAACCTGGGTGCAGGTGGAATAGGGGCTGTGGCCACTCCTTCCTCAGGGGCAGCTGCTGGAGCTCGTTAGGGGCTGCTAGGTATTGAGAAAAACTAAAGCCTTTTGTGGCTCCTCTTAACCCTATCCCCTCCCTGTCCTCCTCCCTAGGCAGCTGTGGGCATCTCTATGTTGCTTGGGGGGGGGGGGTCCCAGCAGTCCCCCACTGACCCCATACAAAGCACCCTGGCCAAAAAGAGCATCTCAAGGAGAGCAGAGCCCAGAGCTGCTGCACCAAGCGCTGCTCCCCGCATCATGACAGGGCCTGGAGGATGCTCCCAGCCCCCACGTACCTCCCCTGGCCTCATCCCAACAAAAGTCATTATCCTCCTCCCAGAATAGACAGTTCCGACCATCGATCTGCTCTGCCGCGTTGTTTATCCCTCAGCGGCTCTGCTTACAGAAAAAGCCATCTTCAACCCAAACAGCCGCTTCCGCTGCAACGCGACCCTGCGGCTGGGGCTGGGAGGGAGCTGCAGGGCTCCCGTGGGGAGCGAGCCCTCACGCCTGGCCCCCCATAGCTTCTGCAAGTCCCTGTGGGGCTATGTGTGGTCCCACAAGCACTGCTGTGCTCTGTGTGCCCAGCCGTGATGCAGCGATGTTCCCTTGGCTCCGGGCCCCTGCGCGGTCCCAAGGTCTGCAGGGTTCGCTCCTTGCGCTGCGGGGTTGCTCGTCCCGCTGTCCCCGGCCTGATGGGCAGCACGGCTGCCGAGTGAAGGAGTTCGGCCCCCGGCCAAAAGCCCCCTCCCTGCTCGTCCCCTATCCCCGCAGGACCTATTTTGGGCAGGAATGAGGAAGCTCTTCGTTCCACGGCTAAAAATAGGGATCTTTCTCCCATGTGGATCACTGCTCTCACACTGTATCCCGGGATGGGAGAGGGCTGGCGAACTCCCGAAATCCTGGACACGGTGGGAGGCAACAATTCCCCCTGCCCCGACCTCCGTGTCCCCAGCCAGGTATCGGGGCCCCCAGCCTGTCCCTGCGGGGACGCGACCCCCGAACACAACGCTGTGCACTGCAGGGAGCCGAGATCGGGGGTCTGGGCGGGGAGTCCCTCCCCAACCCCTCCCTCCGCTCGATGATTTAGGGGAAGGCTCGCAAGGAGGGAGGAGGCAAAGGGATGCCGATGCTTCCATCTAGCGGCCTCCCGCTGGCTGTGCTGCCTGCTGGCGTCCAGTCCCCCGCGCTGCGAGCCGGCATCCCTCCGTGCAGCCCCCCGAGTGGTGCCAGCCTCCCCTCCGACCCCTAGAAAGGGCCGAAAAGCAGCAGGAGCAGAGATGAAGACCCTTTTATTGCGGGTGAAGGAGGAGAGGGGCGGCTGGAGGACAGGGGCAAGGACGGGGACACCGGTGACACGGGCTCACTGTGGGATATGGCAGGGGTTGGCAGGACGGGCCCCTCGCCGTGCCAGCGGCCAGGCAGCCCGCAGGGAGAAGCTGGCCGGGGGGATGCTGCGTGCACAGGGGCAACGTGGCCATCAGGTCACTGCAGCTCCCCGGCATGAGCATAGAGCCCCAAAGCTGGGTGCCCACAATCACGCTTAGCTCTGGCACAGAGCTTCATAGGGTGGCAGGGAGAGCATGCCCCTGCCTGGCACGAGGCTATGAAGTCGCAGCAGAGCAAGGGGAGGATGCTGAGCATCCTGGCTTCCAGATGGCCAGATCCCATCCCCAAGGGATGCCCATGGGGTCCCCATCCCCAGCCTCACGCTCAGGCGAAGACGGCGGAGTTCTGCCAGTAGGAGTAGACGAGGAAGCCAGTGAAGGTGCTGTCTGTCTTCACGCTGGAGTAGAAGCCGATGTAGTCCCCGACTCCCACCTGCACCCACACCTCATCCTCGGGCTCCAGGCGAACCAGAGCCCCCCCAGAGAGGGAGGTGGGCTTGGGCCAGTTCCCGTAGTACTGGAAGAAGGAGGCGATGGAGTGTCCGTTCTTCATGATGTCAAACTGCAGGCTGGAGCGGTAGACAGTGGCATGGACTGCAAAGTAGTAGAGGCCGGGCACCTCGCAGGTGAACTTGCCAGTGTTGGGGTCGTAGTGGCCCTGCTCATTGATCAGGACCACGTCAAAGCGGATGGGCTGGTCGGCCAGTGGTGGGCTGCGGGACTCAGAACGCTTGGCGCTGAAGGCGGAGCGGGGGGCCACTGCACATTCACCCTGTGCCCCCTTCTCGCCATGCATGCCATCCATGCCGGGGCTGCCCATCTCCCCACGGGGTCCGGGAGCTCCTGGAGGGATCACAGAGGGGACAGTGTAACCTTGAAGCTGCTGTCCCCAGCGCAACCCCTGCCATCCGAGCTCCCCCACCTCAGCTGCCTAGATCCATCCCAGCGGGGTTCAGCATCCCATAGGTGCTGTCACTCTATCTGGGGGTGCAACATACCCCACAAGGGCAGGAGATCAACTCCCAGGAGCCAAGGAATGGGTGTTGTACCCACACTGGGGTTCCTGAAGCAGGAGGTGGAAGGAAGGGAGAAACACAGTGGTGCTGGTGGCGGCAAGCAGCTGACTCTTGGAGAGTCATCCATGCAGAAGAAGGGTGGTGGCAGCACAAAAGGGGCATTTTTGTGGGATTTCCTCCCAGCTTGGCAATATAGGGCAATGCCAGCGTTCAGACACGAGCTCATTCCCATGGCAAGGATCCCCTACTGACATGATTCCTTACTTACCTGGTGGGCCCATCTCGCCCTTCTCTCCTGGCATCCCCATCGCCCCATCCCGGCCATCTCGTCCGTCTCTGCCTGGCAGACCCTGGCCCCCGTGCAAGCCTGGGGTGCCTGGGATGCCCGGCTGCCCTGAGCACTGCCTGGGGATCTTGTTGTCTTCAATCTGCATGGAGCTGCTGATGAGCCCGAGGAGGAAGAGGAGGAAGAGCTGCTTCATCTCGTCTGCCGTGCAGGGGCTGGGAATGGGCACAGGACACAGGTTACACTCCTGTGGGCACCGTTCAGAAGGTTGGCACCCTGCAGCTGCCTTCAGTTCTCTCCCAGTTGCCTTTTTGGCAGGCGCTTCCTGCACCTGCTGCAACATCCCCATTGCCCACCCAAACCGTGGTGATGCTGGTGCCAGAAACAGGCAGGGGACCAGGCAGGGGATGCAATAACAGTGCACACGTGCCAACACAGGGTTCTGGGTGCTGGATGGGCACTGCTGGCAGGATGCCCACGGGTGACACCGTGCATGGGCTGTGGTTTTGGTAGACAGCAGTGCGTGGCGGGGCGGCAGCTCGGGAGCTGCAGCTGCATCGTGGCCCTGCCCTTGGCAGCATCCCCACGGCCGGCTCCCTGCTCCGAGCCACCCAGCTCCTTGCATACAGCCATCCGGGGCTGCAGCATCGCACTGGGACGTGCTGGGACCACCCTGGTGCTGGGACCTCCCAACAGCCCTCCCATCCCCGGCGCAGCCCCCATCCCTTTCCCTATGGCCTTGCCCTAATGAAGTTTCTCTCTCTCCTCTCCTGGACGTGATGGCTGCAGCAAAGAGGAAAAGGAGGAGAAATGTGGCTCTTTTCTGTCCCAGTGCCAGAGCTGGGACCCCATTGTGTCCATGCCTCCCCACTCACCGCAGTCCCCCTGCTCCTGTCCCCAAGCCCCGCTCTGCTCCGCTGGGATGGCTGCGGCTCTTCCTGACCGCTTTGCTCTGACGAAGGCCCGAGGAGAGGCTGCCTCTCCACCCCCCCCCTCCTCCCCACGTCTCTCCTCCCAAACTCCAAAGGAAATCACGGGCCCCGGGAGCCAAAAACTACAAGACAAGGGGAAAAAGAAAAATAATCCCGCGGTGTCGGAAGCGCTGTAAGCAGGGGGAAGGGAGAGCCAGACAAACAGCCCAGCAGGGCGAGGGGAGGCGTGGGATGAGAATCATCAGTGCTGAAGGCATCTGGGCAGCAGCACAGCATGATGGAATGGGGAATATGAGAGAAAACAGAGGGAAAGCAGAGAGACAGAGTTGGAGAAGGGAGCAGGAGTCCCAGAGGTGTGTGATGCCCTGGCTGGCGCTTTGTCCCTGGCAGAAGGGATAAGGCAAGAGGGGCAGTGAGGCACGCACAGTGTGGCAGTGCCAGTACTAGGAGCACCTGTGGGGGCTGCAGAGGGTGCAGGCGTGGTGCTGCATGGTTCAGGGATGTGGCAGACTGCAGGTGCAGGCAGCAGGCAGGGAGACTGCGGGCATGCGACGAAGCTGGGATGGTGCTGGGCTTTACAAGGCACTCCCAGGTCTCCTTGAATCTGTTCCAGCACTGAGTGCATCCAAGGGATGCTGCAGGGTGCAGTGGTGAGGGTGATACTGCTGGCTGAGCCTTCCTGGCCCACATACCCAAAAGCTGGGTGCTTGCATGGGACCTGGCTGCTCTCCCCTAGGTGTGAAGGGGCTGTTGGTTTTGGCCAGCTGACAGCTGGTTTGTGGCCACAGAGTGTTGCCAGGCTGTGGCCAGTGGGGTGGCTTGGTGCCAGCATGGCCAGCAAGGACAGAGCCCTGGCTGGAGTGAGTTCTGCTCCCTGCACCATGGAGATGCCTGCATGACACTCTCCAAGAGCCATCCATCTCCCTGGGGTCCCCCCATCCCATTGAGGGCACAACAACCAGCCCATGTCCTCCCTGCAACTGGGACAGTCCTGTGTCCTATTATTCCTGCCCACGCTCCTGGCTTTCCTCTCTTAGCCCACGCCTCCATTTCTGCAGTATAATCTGGCAGACCCTCTCCAAACACACCTCCTGCTCCATCAGCTGCTCATGCTTTTTATTTTGCTGTCTCTGGGGCTGGGGGACAGCCTGTAGCCCAGCTCACCCTGGCCCAGCCCTGCTCCATTCACGGAGCGTTAACAGCTCTGCTGCTGAGGGCTCAGATTCCCTCTCTGGGAACTCAGTCCTGCAAAAAGCCCGTGGCATCTGGGCACTGAACTGGGCCTCCACTCCTCTTTCCTCGCCATCTCAGGGCTGGAAGCACTCCACGGGGTCGTTGGAGTCGGGCAGGATGTTGCAGTTGATGGGCCAGAGGATGCCGAGGAGACCCAGGGAGTGCTGGCAGCGCAGCTCAGCAGCCAGGCAGACAGCACGGCAGGGCTGCAGGACACCCCCATCTGGTGTGCACTTGGGCACAAAGAGGCTGCAGATGAGCAGGCGGAGGTGCTGGTAGCAGGCGAGCTCCATCAGCGTCTGCAGGAGAGAAGCAGTGAGCACAGTGTGGTGCAGAGCACCCAGCTGCAGCCCAGCAGCTCACCTGGTAGTCTTGCAGCACCTCGGCAGCTCCGGCCTGGTCTGGGATGGCCAGCCAGATGTTGGGGAAGGAGGTGGCATTGTAGCCCAGCCCTAGGCACATCTCCACCTCCACTGGCTCGCAGATGGAGCCTGCACAGGGTGAGGTGCAGGGTTAGGGTTGAGTTAGGGGTTATATATCACAAAGTATCCGATGGCCTCCAGGTCCAATGGCTGTGGGGGGGCGTCCCCCAGCCGTGGGCACTCACCAAATGCAGGGTAGGAGACACCAGTACAGTTCAGCTCATCGGTGCCATCGGGGCAGTCGTGCCAGCCGTCGCACACGGACTCCAGCGCCCGGCACTCACCGTTGCCACAGGAAAACTCTGTGGGGCTGCAGGTCTCTGCCAGAGCAGGGTATGGGGATGGGCACGGGCACAGAGCTGGGGGACCTCAAGCCCAAGCTCCTGCTCCAAGAAGGGTCAGACGTGGGGGAAAACCCGGGCTTCCTTGAGCCTGGCCTTGGAAACCCACAAGGATGGAGACCACACAGCCCCCCCTGGCACTCTGCTCCCTGCCTGCCTACGTACTTTCTGTGGCATTGCGGGCTTGGTAGGTGGCAAAGAATCCAGTGTCTGCTACTCCTTCATCTGCCACAAAGAGGACTGTCATGACGTGGCGTGATGAGGTCAGGTTAGGTGGCAGCTGGTGGCCACAGAACCTGCAGGGAGATGGGGCAAGAGATGGCATTGGGTGTGCAGAACCCTAAACCTCATCTTCTGGCTCACTTCAGCATCCTGCTCCGTGCCTCAGTTTCCCCATCTGAGCCACAGGACCCACACCTGCCCATGAGGCTGGCAGTCCCGGTGCCTGCGCTGTCGTGAACCTCCACGAAGTCAAAGCTGCAGTCCTCGTGTGACTCCAGGCTGAAGTTGTGGAAGTGCAGGTCTATGATGTGACCCAGGGGCACGGAGATCTGCCAGAGGCACAGCTATGGGGACAGCCGTGAGAGCTGTGAAGCCGGGCAGGGGCACGGGATCTCCCTGACAGGAGGAGGCCTTCCTTCCTCCTGCCCTCCTCCTCCTCCTCCCAACATCCCTTCTCTCACCTGCTGGTGTGGGTATGGCTGGGGGTGGCTCGGGGTGGAGAAGTGCCCCTCCAGAGCAGTCAGCGGCCCCCCACACTCTGGAGACACACACAGCACTCACACACATGGCAGCTGTGCCCCCTTTTCCCTCTACCATCACCTCCCTGGGGCTGGGGGGAGAGGAGGGGGGGTGTCACACGCTGCCATCCCACCTTTGTGCTTCACGCTGCAGTTGGCCTCATCGCTCCGGTCCTCGCAGTCGTGGAACCCATCACAGACAAAGCCCAGGTGGATGCAGAGCCCCTGGTCACAAAAGTGCTCATCCCATGCACAGCTCTCTGCAGAGTGAGTGCAGGTGTCTGGGCTGGTCACCCATACCCACATCCATACCCACATCCACATCCATACCCACATCCACATCCATACCCATACCCAAATCCATACCTATACCCACATCCATACCCAAATCCACGTCCATACCCATACCCACATCCATATCCAAATCCACATCCATACCCACATCCATACCCATACCCATACCCACATCCATACCCCTGGGTATTTTGAGGCCAACCCACATGATGTACTCACTCTCACTGGGGGCCACAGCACGGTACCGAGCACTGAAGCCTGGTGCCCCCACACTGCCATCGGAGACAAAGGTGACACGCAGGTGGTTGGAGATGCTGTTGAAGGTTGGGGGGACCACGCTGCCACAGAACCTGGGAGCACAGTGGGGGTAGCAGCGCTGCTTGCACCAGCCCTGGGTATGCCACCCCCTCCTTGGGCACATACAGCCCTACCTGGCAGTGCCCCCCCGGGTCCCCTGCTCCTCATAGAGTTCCAGCCGGTCGAAGAGACAGGAGGCGGTGCCCTCCACGCTGAACACATCCACCGTCAGCTGGATGGCCATGCCAGCTGCCACCTCAATGTGCCATATGCAGAGAGCATGGGGTGGGTAGGGGTCGGGGTGGTTGGGGGAGCTGAAGGAGCCCTCGGGGCCACGCAGGGTCCCACCGCACGCTGCATATTACAAATGGGTTTGGGTTAAGGGACATGGGGACATGGCCTCCATGGTGTGTCCCCCGCGTGGGGACTTACCTGGTGCCGGAGTGCTGGCTGCAGGTGGTCGGCCATGGGTTGGGGGAGAGGGTTTGGGGTCCTGGGGGTCTCTCTGGCTGGGTGCCACAGTGGTGGTGGCGGTGCTGCGGGCGGGCAGGGCTGCAGCCGGGGAGTGAGGTGGTGGCGGGGATGTCAGCTCTGCACCAAGGGGGATGGATGTAGTGTGGGGAGGGAGCTCTGAAAGCACACCCAGTCACGGCACGTTCCCCCAACTCTCCCTGCTCACAGCACTCACGGTGGATGACGATGCCCAGCAGGAGGGCGATGAGGAAGAGGAGAACAGCACTCATCAGAGCCACGCAGAGCCAGGTGAACCTGCAGTCAGCACGGTACTGCCAGCCCGCCTGCACCCAGAGCTGCCGGCCTGGGGAGGGCGAGGAGAGAGGGCAGAGCGAGGTGCTGCCGTGTCCCCAGCCCTGTGCCACCCACTGAGCTCAGCCTCTCGTCCCCAGAATGCCAATGACTCCCCATGCATCCCCACACCCCCACAGAGAGCACCCCATGGCTGGGCTCCCAGTGACCCCATGGACACGGGCGCATGTACAAACTCCATGCAGGTACCGAGGGCATCCTGGGGTGATGTGGCTCCCAGCCCATCCTCGTCCGTTGGCTGCTCAGCTGGAGGCACTGCCAGGGGCTCCTCTCCCTCAAAGACGGGGTTGCAGAACTCAGTCTGAACAAAAGCAATGGTGCGTGGCACTGTGGGGACTGCACTGTGGAGACCCATCGGGTGGCACCCCTGCCCCAGCCCTACCTTGCTGCGCTCCAGAGCCTCGGGGCAAAGCGTGATTTCGGTGAAGTCCTTCATGGTAGCAGCACTCCTGGTACAGAGCACTTAAAAGCCCCCCCAAAGTGCTCTGCTCCGCAGCATAGTTGCATATCCCTCCATCCACTGCTCTCTGGATGCTCCCATCGCATCCAGTGCTGGCTGTGCCCACGTGTGCTCAGCCCCACAGAGCCCTATGGCTGTGTGGGGAGCCCTGGGAAGCCCTGCTCCCCTCGGTGGGCCCCTTCCCTCTGCCCCGTTAATCCAGCTCAGCTGAGGATGCCGAGGTCAGGCCCTGGCACGGAGATCCCACATCTTAAAGGGGAAAGTGTGCTCGCACCAGAGCTGGAAGATTGCCCCAGAGGCTGGGGACATGGCTTTCCAGGTGCTGGTGGGAGTGGGGCAGCCCTGGAGGGGCTGTGTTGGGTGTGCACCCCTCCTTCCCTCTTGTCCCCCCTTGCTGATGTCTGAGCGCTGCTGCCTGCGTTCCTGCTGCCTTTTAATGCCACAGGACTGTGCCTGAGCTGGGCAGAAAGAGGCTTTTGTTCAGGGCTTTGGGGGCAGAACATGGGCACAGTAGGAGGAGGAGAGGCTCCCTGTGCCCCATGGACACACCACAACCACATCCACTTGCTGCAGGCGAGCCCCATGTCACGGTTCCTTCTAGATTGAATCCTGACTCAGTTTCCCTCCTGCTGCTGGAGCCCTGAGCCAAGCACACACGCACACAGCGCTCTGTTCCAGCTAAAATTTATTCCTACACGAGTCTCCCTTGTACGAGACACATCCTGCCCATCTTGCTTACACAGTAAACAAGCCACCTGCCGAGCTGTAGCACTGCCCCAGCCCGGGACCCACCTTTGCCCCCCAGCCCTGCCGGGATGCCCCTAGGGGATGTGTTCGGGGCAGGGGGGCTCAGCCCACGCCCAAAGCAGGATGGGTGCTGGATTGGACTGGGGCTGGGGTTGTGCTGGGTCAGTTACGTGTCCCCCCCCATTGCACCTCAGGCAGGGCGGGATGGGGAGGAGAATAAATTAGAGAAAAGGCTAAAAAGGCCACTGGCGTTTGCTAGCTGCAGGATGGAGCAGTGGGGCTAGGTGAGCATCTCTAGGCACCCCATGGGGCTCTTGGTGAAGAGGGGAAGAAAGCCCCAGTACTGGAAAGGTGCTGCCCACCCCCCCACCCCTCCTCACCCCCCCTGTAGGACGGACATCCCTGTGCACCCCAAGGGCCTCCTGCGCCCCGAAATGGTTTAAGGCACCGTCGTATAAGGAGGTGGGTCAGCCCCCCCGGTGTGAGTCCCTGGGCAGCCAGGAAGGATGCTCCGGGCTGAGAGAAGTCTGTGATAAATAGAAACTCCATGAAACATCGTCTTCCCTCCCGGCCGTGAGTCCTGGGCCGATCAGAAAGCAGATGGAGGTGACCAAAGAGCTGTAATCCTTCATCAGGAGGTTTGGAGGAGCTGGGAGGAGGCATGTGGATCCTCGGAGATGGCAGAGGGGTACGAAGATGCCAGAAGGGAACCCAACTCCTGGTGTCCCCAAGGTCCTTGGTGGGAGCAGGCAGCCCCAGGCCCCTTGCTCAGTATTTTTATTACACATCAGAAAGAAAAAAGAAAAACCTACCCCAGGGTAAAAAGCAAACACCAGAGGCCTGGGGGCACCAGGGCTACCTGGTTTCTGCCTTCGGGGCTTTCTACTGTTCTTGGGGTGCCAAAATCCAGGTAGGAGGATCTGAGGGGTGCCCAGGGGCCGGCTACATGCGTGAGGATGGGCTGGCCAGCTCGTAGAAGAGCAGGTAGGCATCGCTGCTGCGTACATGGCTGGAGGACATCGGGGTGACGCTGCAGAGACGTGGGGAGATGCACTATGAGCCATGGGGTGCCCACATGAGGTCTCCCTCCCTGTGCCACACGCGCAGCCTCACCGGGAATCATTGAAGCTGTGCCACTCGCTGGAGATGGGGCTCTTGCAGTAGGCAGTGTAGTGTCCTCCCATGGTGGTGCCCGAGTGGTTGGAGACGGCGTAGAGGTTGTAAACGGCGTGGTCTGGGGGGACAGGGTGAGCATCAGTGGTACCCACATGTGAGCTCTGAGCTCTGCCCCCCCAGCCCAAGCACTTACTGCAGCTCTGCGAGGCGAACTCCCTCAGGTCCAGGTCCTTCAGTGGGAAGTTGACGAAGGTGGTGAGCTTGCTGGCTCGTATCCTGGCCTCTGAGAAGCGTTTCAGGTCTGAAGTTGGGGCACGTCAAGGAGATGGGGAGCAAAGGGAAGCCTGCAAAGAGCTGCCACCCCGCACCAGCCCCACCAACCCCATTTATCACTACAAAGGATACGGAGCACCAGGATCTTGGGGAACTTCTGGATGCTGAATTTCTTCGTGCACCGCGTCCTGGCTTTGCAGCGACAACACGTCTGCAGGCAGTGAGCAGTACAGTGAGGACCCATCCTGCACCCATGCAACTCCCTGTGCCCCCACCCCACGTCCCATACCGGTTTCTCATCCCCATCCAGAATGTCCTCTTTGGTGAAGAGCCGCAGGCAGTCCATCAGGGTGACTTCCCCGTAGCCTTTCTGTGGGAGGAAGGCACAGTCAGGAGCACAGTTTATGGGACACACTGTGTGGGGCAGGGGGACAGGGAAGAGCGGGGACACCTCACCTTGGGGATGGGCAGGGAAAGGTCCCAGAAGGGGTCAAAGGCTGTGGAACAGTAGCCGCACTCACTGCAGGTCAGCGAGCTCTTCAGCTGCCCAACGAAGAGATCTGGAGGCGAGGGGATGGAGAAGGGTGATCCTCCAGGCCCCAGCCCCCTGCCTGCCCCCACCCCTGCCTGTATGCTCACCACTAACACGGCTGTCCTCCCGCTCCTGGTACCTCCGCCACATCTGGCGGCTCTTCTCATCATCACTGCAACACAGAGGGACAGAGCTGCTGAGCCATGCTGGATCCCACGGGCATCCAGCCCCCACCCCACTGCCCACCCCACGCTTACGGGAGGTGGTCCAGGGTGTCAGCATTGGCCCGCGGCCGCACCAGCACGCGGTTCACCTCACTGTGCAGCCCATCCAGGAGGAAGCGCAGGAACTCCTGTGCATCCTGCTGGCTGCAAGGCAAAGGGGCACGGCTGTGAGAGACCCCCAGGGCTCTGCACCCACCGCCAGCCCCACACCGCCAGCCCCACACCGCCAGTCCCTACTTGTATCCAACAAAGCGTGGGGCGTATCTCTGGATCTGCGTCTTGAACTCGGAGGGGCTCACGCTGTCGTTGGGGGATGAGGTCCAGAGCAGCTGGATCAGCTTTGCGAACTCTGCGTGCAGAGAGGAAGCTCAGCAATATGAGGAGGGGGCGGACGTGCCCCATAGCTGTCCTCATCCTGTCCCCCCCCCCCCCGGATACCTGACATGAGCGCGGTGCGCATGCGGCTGTTGTTGTTGAGGTCCCGCAGGTACTGGTTCTGCAGGCAGTAATCCCGCAGCTCCTTGGTGTTACTCAGGCACTGCAGGATGGAGTTCATGAAGCACTGGGGGAGGCAGAAAACCATGGCAACGTAAGGCAGAGGGAGGGAGGCGGGTGGTGGCAGGGGGGCACCTTGGGGCGGGCGGGCAGGGGATGGGGATGGAGCAGGGAAGGCATTTGTCCACCCCTGGGGGCGTGGATGCCGGGGTCCCTAATGTGCCCACAGAATGGCAGCGTGTGGGGCTGGGGCTGTGCCCACAGATGAGGACAAGCACTCACCGTATTGCCGAGGTTCCGAAGTCCAGTCAGCCCCTGTACCACCTTGGAGCTCTGCAGAGAGGAGAAAGGCTGAGACAGGCTGCCTGTGAGTAACCTGTGGAGCCACCGGCACCCCTGTGGGGCCGTCCCACATGGCCACGCAGGGGCATTGCGGGCTGCCTTGGCACTGCCACGTGTAGGAGAAGCCTGAGGACCCATTGCTCACCCCGGTGCCTGGCCTGGGATGACTCCCAGGGCTCAAAGTCCTTCTTGCTGCCCTATGCCCTGCGGGCCAGGCTGGCCACCCCCTGCCTCCCCCTGCCAACTCTACACCCTGGGAAGCTGTGGGTGGCCGTGCTCAATGCCTGCCCTATGGCTGAAGCGGGTGTACCACTACTGCCCATCCCTCCAGGACACCCCACCTGGTGCAAAGTGCCACCCTTCACGGCATGGCTGCTTTGTGGGATAAAGTCCAGAGAGGGCGGTGACAGGGTGAGCCTCCCCAACCTGCACCCATCACGGCCGCAGCTCCCGGTCCTCCCCCAGGCGTGAGGAGGGGGAGGAGGAGGAGAGGAGGGGGCCGTCAGCTCCAAAATAGCAGCAGCTGGTGCGCGTGTGGGAGGTGCTGAGCACCCAGCCCTGACAGCAGCCCAAAATAACCCAGATACAGTTACACGTGTGCCATAGCGATGGTGCAGGCATCACCCGCCGCAGGGGCACAGCACCGGCGGGCACCCAGGTGCCCCGTGCCGGGCACACGTGGCACTGCCGGGCAGCTCGGGCGCTCTGCATGCGGGTCAGTGCCTGTAGCAGGGAGCTGGCCCAATAGCCCCACAGCCCCCGCCCCTTTCCACGGGGCAGGGATGCACAAGAACCCCCGTGCCATAGCCGTGGCTACACCAAGGTCGTATTTCCCCCCCACGTTTTCCCTTCCCTGGGTGACTCAACTCCAGCTAATCCCCCTCGCCCGGCCGGGGCTTTATCTAGGACACGGCGCGGCTCACAGGCGGCGGAGCAGAGCTGGCTCACGCGGCAGCGGCGGTGGCTGGGGAGTCCCTGAGGCTGCACTGCGGGAGGGGGACAGGGGACAAGGCGAGGGGATGGGGACGGGATGCGGGCCGCCCTGCTCCACCCGCGTACCAGCAAAGCGCTGGAGAAACCCAACTTAGCTAAGTGCCCAGACCCTGACCTCCACGGCCCTGCTGCGCCCGCCTTGAGGATCCCCACTCCAGATACTGCTCTCTCTTGTCCCGGTGACGCCACCACCACGCCCTACGGCCACCGCCTCCTCCTTGCCACGGGGGCATGGGATGGGGCCAAGGTCACGGCCGAGGCAGCGCTGGCCAAGGGACCCTGGTGCACAGCCACGTGCTTTCACCTCCCTTTCTGCTCCCTGCCTGGGAGGTGCCGTCCCCCAGCGCCGGTGGCATCGATGGGCACCCAGTACCACGCACCCCATCGTGCAGCAATGTGCACCGCGAGAGGCAGCGGGGAGCCCCGCGCTCCCCAAAGCACACAGCGGATTCCCCCTCCC